AAAACAAGGAAAATGACTCATTGATTCAAAATATGAAAAATAGACCTTAGTTAGTACTAAAAAATAAAAAATTATATGTAAAGTACAAAATATATCATATTAATATGTATTCATTTGGATACTTTATCATAAAAATTTGGCAAGAAGCATTTAAAGAAGCCACATTCAACCAATCATATTGGTTTATTTTCAATTATGTTTTCTATTCATGAATTAGAATAAACCACAAGGTTTGGAAATATAATAAATTTAAAATGATAAAAAAGAGTAATTTTATGGTAGGAATTTAGTATATACAAAATACTACAATTGACTTAAATAAAATGTTTGCCAAAGTACTACATTTAAGATTTAAATTTTTTAACAAAATATAAACATTACTCAAAAATATTTTTTTTACAAAAACATCTATGCACATCATCTCAAAATCATAATAATTAAACCAATAAATTTGTAACATGGACTTAGCTCCCCATGTGATTTGAAGAGGGTGTCAAAAGTATAGAAACTAGTTTTTTATTCCTTCATTATCAATTCAAACAATTCACTCTTTAGTGTCATCATAATAATAATAACAACAACAACAATATATATATATATATATGACAAGGTCATTGGGTCTATTAGTCACCCTCTCCTCCAAGTTGAATTACAATAATTCGGGCTTTGATATGGTCCACATAAGCTCATATTACGGCGAGGAGTCTGAATCACGTTGGTTTTTTTGTTTGTTTGTTTGTTTGTTTTTGGGGTTTCATTAATAGAAAAAGGGTTATACCCTCCACTGTCTCAAAAAACAAATTTTATGAATAAAAACACCTGGTGAGCATCGTGAGCACTCGTGCTGGAGATAGGACCGAGATTCAAGAGCGCCCGCCAAATCACGGCCGCAAGAAGCCAAAGGCTGGATTGTTGCGGCGTTACCCTAACATCTGGAGAGATCTACGGCAACCAGAAACGAGCTCTCCCGCAACACCGAGACATAAATTTGGCAAACACATTGATAACGAGATCTTTTGAGCTTTAACAAAACTGAGAAGGACGCGGATGGCAGCAGCAGCGGGCGACGACAATTAGGAGGGCAGTCACACACCCCGCGGACAGGCAGGAGAAGCGAGGAGGTGTAGTTGGGTAACTCGGATTAGGAAGAAGAAAACCTGCTTATTTAGGGCCTGATTCAAAGATTGGATGCCAATCTTATACCACTGCATAACTGCGCCACCCACTGCGGTGGAGCTTGGCGTGTCCAGTTGCAATCCCCTTTGTCCATTGCAAGCGAACGTGGCTCTTAGCAATACCCACTTTGTGCATTTATGCGCACCTCAATTTTATGGCCCGAAATTAGCAAACCATGAGCGAGGTGGTTATGCCTTGGCTTCGAGCTCCGTAAAGTGGGCCATAGAGCAAGCTGCTGCGACGCCTCTGACGAGCTGCTCACACTTGCAACCACGCTGTATTAATTTGTCAGTTGGAGAGGAAGCTTGGTTCTTGAAGAATATTTCGGTTACGGAGAGACCCAGCGGCTCTGCCACTGACGACAACTGAATCCGCCTCCCAACCATTTTTCCTCAATCAGGCTCGTCAGACTTTTTTCGTTTTCCTTGTTCGGGAAAAGGGCAGAGCTCGAGTGGTGTGACGAGCTGGCACGCCGGAGACTTCATCTTGCCCCACTTGGTGGTTTCCAATGAAGGCATCGACAATGGGAAGCGAAATCTGACTCACTCTTTTCACGAAATCTGACTCACTCTTCTCACGAAATCCGACACACGAAGGAGAATTAATTATGGACTGCAAAACTTCGGCAAAATGAAAATGTGGGTCTGGCATGGAACAAATGCCAAATATAACTTGGTGCGCTGCATTAAACTATGATAGATTCAACATAAATTTCAAAGACTCAGTATGGAAGTTTTCAGCCGAAAGCTTCTAAGAAATTCTTGAACTATTGGGGATTGATGTATAATTTCATCATACCTTCAAAAGTGTTTAAAGGTCTACATTTGAGAAACACTTCATCAGGTTTTTTGAATGACTTGAAACAGTAGCATGTAGCACCTAAATGGAATTTCTGAAGACGAAAGTTCACTAGAAATGTCGTTAAGATATCATCATAGTTTACTCATTTTAATAACAGTTGATTAATATATTTGAAGATTTGTCTACGCCAAGTTCGAAGATACGTATATATTATGAAATATGTGCGAATGGAAAATAATAAAACAAAAAAAGGGGTTAAAATAATAAAAAAATAACTATAAAATTCCAAGCAGTATCTAACATTTCTGATCTTCCATGTCTCATTAAAAGACGGATCTGGTTGATCTTCTCTCCTCCACACCAAGTCAAATATATACCCAATATATTTTTGGACAATAAATTGGGGGGACTACCACACCATGCTTGGTATCAACACAGCCAACTAAAGATACAGACAGTACACGTTATAAAATTCCAGCAATAATTCAAATCAATACTGAGATGTATGCAAAAGTGCACAGACTCACAAGAATATACATACATACATACATTTCTTTTACTGGTCTCTTAGGACACGTTCCGGTCGAGTACAGAATGAAGATCCTACAGCAGTCGGGTGCAGTGAGAGTATAACATTAGGGTTTTGCCTTTCACTTGGCTCAAGGCAACTCTACTGCCGTGCCAACTGGTATCTGCCAAAGATCACACCTCCAGGCCCCTTCGCCTTCCTCCTCCCTTCCAACTCTGCCAAACACATCTGCACACAATCTTCCACAATATCTCTCACTCTCTCTCTCTTCTGGACCTCGACACATGCCTACAACTCACACACAAGTACCGCAGGCCGGGCCGGGTTATGCGACCAGAGAGCTCCCTCTGTGAGGATGCCATTCATGAGCTGCAGTATGCAGAGAAGGTGGAATTGTGAGCACTAGAATGAATGAATGAATGAATGAATGAACAGGATTGGGAACCAAAAAACACTGGCTGGGAGACAGAGAATGATGTTCCCTACAGCTGAACAATAACTGAACTTTTTGAAATCCTACCTCTCAGGGCTTTCCATGGGATCTCTCAAGTTCTAGCATGGAACTAATACCCTTCTTTTTCTTTTCCTCTCACTGTCCATCCTATTTTTCCTACAATCCTGATATTTAAATTCCTACGGATATGCAATCACAGATTATGGAGCCTCCCAATTTCTGTGCGCGAGGAGCTTTAATTCCTTGCATTTCGGCAAAGAAAATAACTTATGAAAGAAAAAGAAATAGAAAAAAAAACTTCTTTGAGTTCATAGAATTGACTGTCGTCAAAGCAAGCAAAGTGGTAAACGACCTGAATATTTGGAGAGAGTAATTCCCTGTATTGACCTCGGAGTGAGCTTAAACCTAATTTATCTCTAAAGATAGAGCAGAGTGAAGATGGACTTATTATACCGTTGCGTAAAGCGCGGGTGCTGTTGGGTCGAACGCCACGTACCAGTCTCGGACATTACCCAACCACGTCAGCCCTAATTATTGGACAGGATTAGATTTTGCAAACAAGTTTTTTTTTTTTAGTCAGTGTTGTCGAGGAATTTGGGGTTAACAAGGAGAAGAAGTCAAAGATGTGGGACTCATATTGGTTTCGGAGTCATTTGGTAGTTTTAGACATTGAAAAGAATGTAGCTCTGCCAGTTTCTCTGATGAAAGGCTTGGCCTCTCTGCCAAGCTTGGATTTTCTCGAGGGTTGAAGTGACAAGTCTGAGGGGCCAAAAAATGTTAAAAAGAATGTGGTCTGGGCCGCTGTCGCGCAATACGTACCCAGCTGGCAACAATTTTTACAACCCTAAAAATCTTTAATCTTTGACCATGTCAAACTGCTCATAAATTATAATTATCATTTTTGATAAATTTGATGCAACAACTTAACATTTTATGTGTGTAGATCACAGTGCAAGCTAGGTACCAGGTGTGGGCTAGTGCTGGGACTTGACAAGAGAAGCTACAAATTCCAAATGTTACTGTTCATTATAATGCAAAAACGTTTTGCAATTATTTGACAGTTGCCTTATTTTTTTTAAGAATAATAATAATAATTTCTTTGGATCATTGGGTCCTTTCATGGGACTTGAATATCAAGACAAGGTTAGTGGAGGAAAGATCATGAGGGAGAAAAGATCAAGGTTGCCCTCTACAAGATCCAAAGTACTCGATTAGTTTGCATTTTTCTTGTTTTTCTTGACAAATGTACTGTGATTTGAACCCTTTTGTACCTGATTAAAAAAGTTTCCTTAGCTGGTAACACCACAATTAATCCCAAAGTTGATCATTGTACTAACCCTCTTCAAACTCAAATGTCTGTATGTATGAATAAATATAAATATATATATATATCCAATTCGGACCCTTCGGTTAGAGTACAATGACCTCCCTCATGGATCTTGCAACTGGCTTTCCACATGCACAATGAATGGTTTAAGAGCAGGATTCTTCTACAAGGAGTAGTAGTTTAAAGCCTTCCAGTATTTTATTATTTTATTATAATTTTTGTCATGCAATTGTTATGCTCTATGTAAGAATTGCTGCAAGCAATCATGAGAAACTGCTGCTGCTGGGAAGTAATGTGTCTGTTTGTATCCCTCTCTCCATGTCAAATTTACTATTGCTTTCAATGAATGGGGCTAAGTATTACAAGATTAGGCTGATTTCAGCCAATTAAAGGATTTAAAAGTAGCGACTCTCCCTCTAAGTATAAATACCCCTTATAATAGCCCAACCAGAACTGTAATTTTGTTAGCCGCCGTTTGATTATCATTTCTTATATAGCAGTGGCCACGAGTAGTGCTCATTTCGAACCATTTTTGAATTCAGGAAAAGTAACTACTCTAAGAAATCCTAAAAGATTCAAGTATACTTAAAAAATGATAATTACCTAAATTAACACTTAGAAAACTCTGCTAATAGTCTCAGAGTAAGTTTCAGTGTACTTTTTTTTCACTTCATAAGGTTGTACGAAGTTTCCTAGTTTTAAATGCCCCACTTCATCCTCATTGACCACTGTGTGTCATCAACTCCTCTCTCACAATCTCCTCGTCTGCTTACAATCCTACTTCTTCACTTGGATCGTGGTTCAGCATGCACGGAACGCAGGTATTTCTCACAAGTTGCTCCAACAACATTGTGTTTTGAGGCTCCGGTGTCTTCGTCTCATCCCAGGTTGCCTCCGCGAATAGTGATATAATCTGTCTCTCCCTCCTCATTCGCGATTCACTAGCTGTTTTCAGCTGCGTTTCCTAATCTTGTAACGTAGACTGTGTGTGGGTCTTCACAGGCTTCAATGCGTAAAGCTTGTTTTTGAGAGGGCCGAAAGACGAGGAGCCGTGTTTCTTCTTGTGTCGTGAACGATGCGCTGGACCAGACACTTGATGGGCCGGAGAGCATAATCTATAGTGAAACTAATTGACTTTGAGGGCCTGCTTGATGCGAGTGTCGAAGCGCTGTCGGTGCACATTCTTTGTCTCGGACTTTACGAACATTCTCCAGGGTTTAGGGGTTTCGAGGTTATCTTAACCTATTTTCAGTTTCTTCAAGATTCTGTGCTTAAATTTTTCTACTGTCCTGAATCCTCAACCGTTCTTGGTTCGGTGGATAGTTTCGTATGCTCCGCGGGGTTCATCAGAGTTGTCGAGTGTGGATAAACTTTGTTGTGTGAGACATCACACTTTGATCGAAGTCTCCTCTCGAGTTTTGTTTTACTACGAAACTTCCTCGTACATGAGTCGGTAGTCTTAAGAATTGCGTAGGTGTCCGGGTCGGGGATCTATCCTGCATCTTCTCGGTGTCTCCTCTGCTATTTAGAAGATGGATTCAGCTCCCACTCAAGTCGGAGGGTGGTGGTGGTTTGCTGTGCCCTTGCTGGCCAAGCAGGGAAGATCCTCGCTGGAGGAGGCGGCGGGATATACAAACCTCAACGGGCTGGTGATTATGCTCGTATTGGGTGTGATAAGTGCTTGTGCTATATTCGTTTGTTGGATTTCTCCCGGAGGTTCGTCATGGGGACGTTTGAGAGGTAAGAGAACCATCCCCGGGCCTCGAGGGTTTCCCATCATCGGTTCCCTGTTGGATATGGGTGGATTGGCCCACAGGCGTCTCGCTCAGCTTGCTGTAGCCTACAAAGCTATGCCGCTGATGGCTTTAAGCCTAGGAGAGACCCGTGTGGTGATTGCTAGTCAACCCGATACTGCCCGTGAGATTTTGCATAGTGCGGGTTTCGCCGACCGGCCGCTGAAGCAGTCCGCTGATCAGCTCATGTTCTCACGCGCCATTGGGTTTGCTTCTCATGGGAAATACTGGCGAAGTTTAAGACGAATTGCAGCCAACCATTTGTTTTCGCCCAAGAGGATTGCTGAGCACGAGGATTCGCGTGTTGCTGAATCTGAGTTCATGCTACAATCTATTGAGAATGACCTTCTCGTATTGGGCAGCGTCCAGATTCGTGGTCACCTGCAAAGAGCGTCCCTGAACAATATCATGCGTAGTGTGTTTGGGCGGCGGTATGACTTCGTCACTGGATCTGAGGAGGCAACCCAGTTGAGGGCCATGGTGGATGAAGGATTTGATTTGCTTGGTGCTTTCAATTGGGCTGATCACTTGCCAGCCCTGAAGTTTCTGGACGCACAGAAGATACATCAAAGATGCGCTGATCTCGTTCCCAGAGTCAGAACATTTGTTCAGAAAATCATTGATGAACACCGCAATGAAAATAACTCTCGTGTGGGCGCTGACGAGAGGCGTGAAACTGATTTTGTAGACGTCTTGCTCTCCTTGAAAGGTGATGAGCAGCTTGCCGACGAGGATATGATCGCTGTGCTTTGGGTGAGTGACATTTGCTCACGAGCTGTACTTCTCTGCTTGACGTATGTGAGAGTTTTGATAAATTTTCTATTTCTGTGGCATTGTGCTCTAAAATTTGGTTCACAATGCACTGTCTCGGAGGTCTCTTACCAACCTTGATCTCGTCGGCACCGATAACCTCAAAATCATAACCTTGTGTGCCTCACCTTTTCAGGAGATGATATTTAGAGGAACTGATACCACCGCTATCCTGACCGAGTGGATTATGGCGGAAATGGTGCTGCACCCCGAAATTCAGCGCAAGGTTCAATTCGAGCTGGACTCCGTTTTTCCCACTGGTATCTGCAACTGCGCATCTTTTGAAAATATGCTTTCCAGATTACCCTACCTAAAGGCCGTGGTCAAAGAAACTCTCCGTCTGCATCCTCCCGGTCCCCTCCTCTCATGGGCAAGGCTATCAGTTCAAGATGTTTGCGTAGCTGGACACACAATTCCTGCGGGCACGACAGCAATGGTAAACATGTGGGCAATCACCCACGATCCTGAAGTGTGGGCTAATCCGAGTGTATTCTCTCCCGAGAGATTTCTGCCTTCTCATGGTGGCCAGGATGTGGATGTCCGTGGCAACGATCTTCGCCTGGCTCCTTTCGGGGCTGGCCGTCGTGTCTGTCCAGGGCGTGCACTCGGATTAGCCACTGTGCACCTGTGGGTGGCGCAGCTGTTGCACAACTTCGAATGGACCCCGGCACCAGTGTGCGAAGTGGACCTTACCGAGGTATTGAAGCTGTCTTCAGAGATGGTGAACCCACTGCAGTCCGTTGCTACTAGTCGCCGAGTATCCACATCGGGCTAAAGCTAACTGCAGCTAGGTAGAGGCAGGAATGTATCGTTTTCAAAGTCTAAGAGAAAAATCTGTCGACGCATTCTGGGGGTTCGGATTCCTCCTCATGCAAGATTGAAGGCAATATTGAAGTGTTGCGAAGGCAAATCGGAAGCTAGTGACTGTTAAGTGCTTAATTACATCGCGGATATCATTTGCATTTAAACATCATTTTTTTGAGGGAGAGTTAGAGCTTTCCACAATTTTGGATCTTTTCATCTTCCATGTTTCAGTTGTTGGTCGTCAATATGAGACTAACTTTTCAAGACAAAAACAAAACAAAAGTTATAAAACAGATTACTTCATGATAAGACTTGTCGATGTTGACGCGGATCATGTACTCATCTATATTTCAAATTGTCGTGCCTTGCATTGTGCTTTTTTTTCTATGTGATACATGATGTCGTCACATAGGCAGGATTAGCTCACACTCGCAAGGCGAAACCCCCCCCCCCCTTTAAATCCCCTCAGTTGTCACAACCAGCTAGAAGTTAAACAATCCTCAAACATTGGCTGTATTCAACTGTTCCAGCCATAGTAGCAGTACTATTCCTAGTGAGAATAGCATGGCCAGAATGTAGCTGGGCTATAATTAACCAACGCGTCTTCGATATCAGAGCAGAGTAATTCAACAACACTTTAGCAGCAACAGAAGGCACAGAGGAGATATGGACAGATATGATTATAATTGTAAGACTGTCTTGAATCTGATTGCTGCGGGGTGTGGATGTGCCCTCCCAACTTTCAGTGAAAATTTAGTTTTGACACAGAATAGGTTGTTAAGTATCGCTCAGTTATGATGTAGGGAGCGTGTGCCACAGTAAAGTTAGGACCGCTGCAGCTACACCACGACAGAGTGGCACTGATAATGTACTAATCCGAAGCTGAAAAGCGGCATGCTATTGTTGTCAGAATGATGGAATGGCTGCCTAGGCTGGCCGCTATCAAACCCCTGTGTCTCCGCTTTCAATTCTTGGCGGCGGAGTGGGTCCCGCCTTATTAGGTTCTGGTGCTATTTACGTAGGTGTCAAGTTCACAAATATATATATATATATATATATATATACCATTGGATCTGTTGTTCTAAAAGTCAGAACCCGTTGACATGAGAAAATTCTACAGATTCATAACTGTTTACCAAAGAATTGACAGGGATCCAATGGTATATATATATATATATATATGTGTGTGTGTGTGTGTGTTGGTTGCACTGAGCATTTTGATCCTTTGCATGGATAAATATTGGTTTCAGTTTTTTCTACATGAGGTTTCTCACCTGTAAGTAATTAATAAAACTATTATCATGAATAATTTGTGACAAGAGTAGCACTACAGAAGCATACTTTGTTCGGCTATGAAGTTGGAACTATGAAACACATTCCAGCGTTAACATTTCAGTTTATCATACAACATTTGAGTCTCTGACTGTAGTTTCATTTAACCACTTAACCCTCTCATTCATGTATATATATATATATATATATAATTATTAATACACTTTTTTCAATTCTTAAACATACTTTCATCTCTAAAATGATAAAGTGTTTATTTGATGTTTACAAAAAAGAGTAAAAAGAAGAAGAATGGTATATAAATATTGTACTTGGTTTCAGCTCACCTAATCAATCATCATTCTTTGCAATACCCTAGTTGATCCTCTTTCCTGAAGCTCCAATATTTCTTCTTTTCGGGTCTATTATTATTCTTATTTTTGGCTGAGTGACTGTTAAATAAGAAGCTGTGGCATGGGAAGGGTGGCAGTGCAGGATCATGCCGCAAAGAGAGAGTGTCCCTTCGTGCCGTCAATCAAATATGGTTCAACCCACAGCAACACCAGCAACAACAACAACGAGGAGGAGGAGCAGACATTGGCAGGACGACAGGCAGACCACAAGGCAGACCAAAACAAGGCAGACAAGCGGCTGGTTTTCTGGCGCTGCCGCCGCTTCTTCTTCTTCATCTTCTGCCTCTTCCTGGCTTGCTCTTGTGCTGCTGCTCGTGGTACCGCTTGGACCTTCTCTCTCTCTCTCTCTCCTTCTCATCAGGCTCTGTCTCCTTTTTTCCGTTCGCTTACTTTTATTGTCTGGGTTGGGGTTACTGGCAGGCTGGCAAGGATCGGCCGTGGCAGGGATAGTAATCAGTTCCACCTGACTCATGACTGGATAAATCATCTCCACATTCATCCATTCATGTAGACATCCATCTTGACCTTCCTCAACAAGGCCCATCTTCATGTTCTCATTTTTAGAATCATGTCTATATAAAATACTGGAAGCTTGGCAGTGAAGAATTTTGAGACAGCAATTGACAATTGTTGATGCTTGAATGAATACAGTATCTTTTAACTTACAGACATATATGTATGTATGTATATAAATAAATAAATAAATAAATAAATAAATATATATATATATATTGTTAATTTTTTAACACAAAAAAGAGTTTATCCATTGTATTAATAGAATGAAACAACATACAACAAGACAACTTAACTTCTAGTATCCATGCAGGCAGAGTTAAAAGTATTATATAATAAAACTACTATTTTTCTCTAAACATCTATTATTAACTATCAAGTCACATTGTGGTATTCTAAAGTTCTATTTAATTACTTTATGCAATCTAGAGCTATTTGAATGTTTTCCCATTTAAGATTTGTCCCACTTCTTAAAAAGACTTGTATTATGTTTAAGATATTTTTTTAATTTCTTCCTTATAGCTTTCTAACTAATTTGTATGCATCTTATTAAATCCATCCAAATTATACATTTAGAATAAAGTTCATTCTATACTTTCTTAGAAAAGATTGATTTATTTTTTTAGACATAAATGGTCTACATGTAAAAGCCTCTTAGTAGTGATTAGATCTTGCAAAAGCATTTAAACAAAAGAAGATATTTTTTGCAGAAATAGCTTATTTTCACATGTAAGCTTTCTAAGGCTTGCATTTTAAAGAAATAGATGTTAATTTATATAAAATAGATGTAGTTCAATCTCAAATTCTACTAACTTGATGTCACTTCCAAAATTTGAGTATGATGGTTTTTGGATTATAAGAAGCACACATGGTATAATGGATACCAATATGTAAACTAACACGCCCTCTCCATTTGTTAACAACAATTCCTTTGTGCTATAAAATCTAAATAAATATTGCCTCTTTGTGAGCACGTACATAAGTTGTCAAAATACTTGCAATATAATGGTGTTGAATAAACTTTATATTTTGTAGTTGTGGTAATTTACACGGTCTTTTAAAATATAGATATATATATCACAAATATGTATTTTTCCAACAAATTCAAATTGAGGTAGTGAGTTAGGATTTAAACTCTAAACTGGGATGCATACTTTTCTCTTTAGACATGTACTCTAGTGGTCATTTACTTATTAATGAGGCATATTAAAATGGCATATTCAACCAAATTGGTGCTTTCAAATCCTAGGGTAATCAAAAAAAGACTAGCAGAGATTTTAAGCTTTCAAAGGTAAAGAAAGTGACATGATAAATTCTTATTAAAAAAATTACAATAAAAAATATTTTTTGGAAAATTTGGAAACTTATTATTATTATTTCAAATATTAAATTTATTTAGAAAGTAAAAATATTTAAATAATGAAGGCCAAATGGCTAATTTAATTCTATAGAAAATATGCAATCAACTTGTATTTTTTGAGGTTTTCCAATCGATTTATAGTATCAAGAAATAAATTTAAGTATATTGATATTATTCTATGTTTAATAGAGATGTTTATCAAGATATTACTTAATTAAAAAATACCATAGTAAAATTAAGAAATTTAAATTAAAATAAAATATTAATCTATATAGATATAAAAAAACAAAAATACATTTAGGGAAAGAAGCTAAAAAAACTTAGACAAGTAAGTGCAACCCTAAGTGCAATTGCAGTCAGAATGGGTTTCTAAGATATTACTTAATTGCAAGTAATTAAGTAATATCTTAGAAATTGCAGTCAAGAAAACTCAGACAAATAAGTGCAATTGCAGTCAGAGGGGTTTATCCTGTGCTTTATAAAGGCATGAACGTGAGAAGAGAATTTCAATTATTTTTCGTATTTTTTAAAAAATGAAACAAAGTATACCAGAGTGAATATGAAGGTGCCTTTGTATTAAAAATAATACAAAATGAAAATTCCGTGTCGAGGCATGGATTTCGGTAGAAGGGAATGCTGCAATTCCATGCCTGTCAAATCTTTATCGGAACAGATCCTGGTCGTGTCCTAATCTTCCCGTGCAGGATCCATGCAGTGTACAAACCAGTGAAGGATCTCAGAGGTAGTGAGAAATAGCACAAAATCTGATTGTGTAGTACATTTGAACAGTTGCGAGCTCGCAACTGTAATGGAGGTGTATTAATATACTTCGAAAGCGGCTCGACCCACCTATTCAATTCAACAAGGAGTTAGCCCTCGACAGAGAAGAGAGCAAGACCGCCGTATTTGTGGAACCAATCTAGATTAATCCTGTCATTAAGTTGTACAGATTCGATAAGCAAGCAGTCATTATCCACTTTCTCGGAGTGGTAAGCACACATTTGATGTTCATACGGTGAGAGTTCTAGCAGTTGGACCCTTGCCATAATCGCTTTTAACGAAAAAACATCCCGTCAAGAAGAAAAGAACATGCCTATGTTATAATCACTGAAATGAAACACCTGTAGTGGTCAATTTTTATGCGGATGGCCCCAATTAAATACCAGAAATTTTTCTAGTAAACCAGTCGCCCGGCGTCATGCTTCTCTGTGCTCCAGGAACTAACACCCGTTTCAAGTCATCCTATTCAGGTTTTAAAATCACCCATGAGTTAAAAAGTCACAAGCTTTTCGAATAGATCGAAGCACGGAGCATGCCATGTCATTTCATTGCATCCCGTCATCGTCACATGGTGGGGGCTACACACACCACTTCCTCGCTAACCTCACCGACACTTTCACAGATGGCTCGTTGAGGGTGGTGGATTATGCAGGCAGCCATCCACGAGGACCCCACGGCTAGAAACAGCTCTAGCCTCGAATTGCATGCGGTTGCACCCTCTAGCTTACGTGGCGGAAAGCTGAAAAGACGAGAAGAAAAGCATGAAAAACATCAAGAATCATGCAGCAGTGCATCAGAAGAAAATGCAGAAGAATGGGTCGGATGCACGTTTTATATGGTCAGAGGGAGAGTTGCGACCAGATTGGTGGTGGTCGAGTCTGCGTAACTAGGCCCCATGAAGTCCGTGATTCGTAAAGCCGCCGCTGTGATGGTGGTACTCAGCACTTTGCGATTCCTGCCTCCATCGTGACAGA